CCGACCCGCCCCTGGTCCGCGCCTACTTCCGACCTCGGGAGCCGCGGCCTCTCCCCGCCCTCCCACCGGTGCCCCAGGACACGACAGTGCCCTCCTCCCAAGCAGGGGACCCGCCGGTGGGCCACCCGCCAGGCCGCACCCCCTCCTTGCCCGCCTCCACACCCTCACGGGTGACTGGCCCTGTGCAGCACCCCGCCCTCCCGCCCTCGGGGAGCCCTGCATGGACTTTAAAAAGACCCCACCCAGTACAGGACCCTGACCTTACACGACCTCCTGACCCTCAGCCCCACCCCGGGGGCTGCTGGGACCCTTGACCCACGGCAAGGTCAAAGGGTGCCCCCACGCCTCGCAGAGACTGAGTCCCCAGCAACCCGCAGCACCCGTGCTTTCCTCCCCTCTTGGTCACAGCAGGACAGACCATCAGCCCCAAGAGCACACAGTAGGCAGAGTGTCTATGTGCCCTTCCCCCCAAAAAAACCAGATCTGGGGAAGCAGGGTGACAGCAGGGCCCCTGCTCGGATAGCACGCCCAGATCCCCCACCCCCAGAGCCCAGAACCACCCAGCTGGCAGGCGAGAAACGTGAGGAACCCGAGTGTCACCCTCCCTCCCAGCTGGGCACACTCATGCACATCCTGGCCCCCCAAGATCCCCAAAGCCAGTCTTCACACATGCTCTGTGGGCTGCTCGCACCTCAGAAAGGCGGACCCTGGATCCAGCTTCCATCCCGTGAGACTAGTGCCCTGCACAGAGCAGAACTGACAAGCCTTCCTCCCCATCTGCCTCCTTCAGTGGAGGCAGCCCCTTAGAGTTTTTACAGCATCTGTAGGGGTCCCAGTGGACCAGCCATGACCTCACTCCAGAGGCCATCCAGCCACCCCTCCTCTGACCATTTGGGACTGACCACGGCTCCCCTGACCCCCCCACCTCATGATTTATGGAAATGCCTTAATGTCTGTAAGAACTCCACACCCCGTAAGCAGCTCCATATAGTCTACATCTGGGATTTCTTCCAGCTCCCAAAGCCTCTTATCCATCAGACCTCCTCTCCCTGGGACAGATGCAAGTTCCTCTTCTTCGTCTTCTTTTTTTTTTTTTTTTAATTTTTTTTATTATTAATTTTAAGGAAAGTTTACAGAGACTGAGGATTTCCATTCATTCCTTGTTGCACTTTCTCCCTGCCCACCTCTCCCTCCACCCAATTCGCTCTTCTCTTTGAAAAGTAAAAGAAAAATTCTTTCATTGTTATACAATCCCTCTTCTAAGGAGAGTTTCCTCTTACGCACTGGCTCTGCCTCCTCCAACTTCTCCCCACTTACTCACAGTGAGCTACACATAGTCCACAGGGCTCTGTACACCTCTGATCCCTCACCTTGATTTCATTGCCCATCTCCCAGGGAGGAGTTTGTGAGAGCCCAAAGGGGACATAAGGTGCGTTTCTCAACTGGGGAGCAGTCCCCAGGCATCAGGGCCCTAGAAGTGATGTCGTGTAAACTAGAAATGAGTTCTCAGTTGCATTTGTGGGCTGCTTGAAACGAGAGCTCAGATTTACTGACAACATCTAAGGCATGAGAATTCCTACTGTATGCTTTTTGAGGTGGCTAGTCAGACTTTGGGGTGCAAAGCAACATAATATACTAGGGAAAGGACTTAAGAATCTCACTTACTGGCTGTGTGACCTTAGGCAAAAGCATGAGTCTTCTGAACCTGTTTACTTACTGCAAAGGGTGACAATTAACACTTACCTTCAGGATTACAGTGGAGGTTAAATAAGATTTGAGATGGGACTTACCACAGGGTCTGACACAAGAGTAGTGGCTCAGAAAGTATTAGTTGTCTTTCTTTTCTTTCAGAAGTTCAGAGAATTATGGCGAGAGAAGAAAGAAGAAAAAAAAAGAGCGAGTACCTCTAGTATTTGTGGACTGAGATAGGGCCTAGTGGGAGTACCTCGCTTTGGCTGTCATCCCTAACCAGTAAACATCTGTCTCCCCATTCCCTAACCACAAACCCAAGACATGCCATCTACAGACTGAAATGGGGTCCCAGGTCCCCTCATCTCTCTCCCTGCATTATTTTCTTAACCTTCTTGGTCAAAGTAAAAAGAACCTTGAATATTCCTTGCTTATTGAATATTGTGGTTTCAAAATGGCCAAGAGTAAGTCGTTGGCCAGAGACTTAAGAGGGGAAGTTATAGAACTTTCAGGATGACTGCCTTGAACTCATGGTTGAGGGCTAGGAGATAGTGAAATATTAGCACTGATGGCTGCAGTGGAGATGGAGGGGACTCTGGATCCAGATTAAAGGTCCATTTCAGCTGGCCTGGGTCAAAGGTTGTCTCAAGACAGTCGGTTTTGGCAGCTACTAGACGCTAGAGAATGGATAAGAAAATAGGTCAGAGACTATCCCTGCTCAGGTGGTTGTCAGGTGCCTGGGGTGAGCAGATCACAAAATCAGAGGTTGTTTGTGACAGGAATTTTTTTTTACAGGGAATTTTAAGAGATTGGCCAGTCTAGCTCTCACTTATTGTACAGATGAGAAAACAGAGGCTAACAGGGATGACCCTGCAAATGAAAGAACGTGTTATTTAAAAAAAAAAAGGTTCATTAGACTGATCAACTTCTTGCCAAGAACCCAGGCACAATCTTTTTTTTTCTCCTCAGCATCTAATGCAGGACCCACAATGGAGTAACTATTTATTAAATGGCATTTACTGATAGACTTTTTGAGTCAGAAAGCTAGATGCAACCTTAGAAAAGCTCATCATCCAAAACAACTATAAGATATCATCTCGCCCCAGTAAGAATAGCAAAATTTAACAGAACAGCAAACAACAAATGTTGGCGAGGTTGCGGAGAAACTGGAACCCTTATTCACTGTTGGTGGGAGTGTAAAATCGTGTAACCACTATGGAAGGCTGTGTGGCGCTTTCCCCAAAAGTTGCAAATAGAAATACCATCTGACCCAGCAATTCCACTACTGGGAATATACCCTAAAGAAACCATAACTGCCACCCAAGCAGATATATGCACTCCCATATTTATTGCTGCTTTGTTCACAATAGCAAAGATTTGGAAACAACCTAAGTGCCCATCAGCAAACAAATGGATAGAGATGCTCTGGTATATTCACACAATGGAATACTATGCTGCATTAAAAAACAAAGAACTCATGAAATGTTGTACAAAACGGGTGACCCGGAATACATTATGTTGTTGTTGTTATGTGCCCTCGAGTCGTTTCCGACTCATAGCAACCCTATGCACAACAGCCCTAAACCCTGCTCTATCCTGCGCCAACCGCACCGCCTCTGACACACCCATCCCGATTACCCCAGTCACCGAATCAATCCATCTCAAAGAGGGTCTTCCCCTCCTGCGTTGTCCCTCAACCCTCCCAAGCATGATGTCCCTCTCCAAGGACTCGTCCCTCCTGGCAACGTGTCCAAAGTATGTCAGACGAAGCCCCAGAATCCTTGCCTCCAAGGAGTAGCTTGGTTTAATCCTCTCCAAGATGAATCTGTTTGTTTTCCTGGCAGTCCAGGGTACATTCAGTACCCTTCTCCAGCACCACAGCTCAAAAGCATCCACTCTATGCTAAATGAAATATCTTAGTCACAAAAGGACAAATACTTCATAGTACCACTGTTGTAAAATGGGACTGACATCGGGGTTGGGGGGAACTGAGAGGGGATAAATAATATATACTGCATTGAAACAGATGAGGGAGAGAACTGTTTAGGAGGAATATATGATTAGGTATAATTGTCTAGAATGAAAGCTTCAGAGTGGAGTGGACTGGGGAGGGAGGGAGACTTGTGTAACAAGGAAAAAATTTTTATTTTCTTTTCTTTTTTTTTACTTTTGAATGAATGGAAATCCAAAAGCTCATCATCATCATATAGACAAGTGTATCGAGGCATGAGAGCAGTAACAGACTAATTCTGCTTAATCTCTTAGAAGAAAAACTAGGAACTGAACCTAGAACTTTTTATTCCCAGTCCTCAGCTCTTTCCACTTTCCTACTTTTGTGCCTACCCTGCAGGGAAGTCTTTGATGGGCCTGAGATGGTCCCTCTCTGCTCTTGATCAGTGACCAGTAAGTGCTAAGAGGCAAGACAGGAGCTAGCCAGTGTGGGTGACATGGGATAGAAGAGGTACTGGCACCATTAGTTCTTTTGATTTGTCTGAACCCTAAGCTGGACACTGAAGCGGGAAAGGACCAGATCAGACATGTTCTCAGCAGTGACGAGTAAGGTTCCTATCACTTCAAGTTGTGAAGACCAAATTTATTTGGGGTTCTTTAGCATAGGAAGGAGCCAGGAACGGAAAGATGGGGTTGTTTTTATTTCATTTTTAACAGTTGGATACCAGATCTTCAAGTCTGAGGGAAGTAGTGTGAAAGTGGGGTATGGTCATTGACCTGTCTCTCCTGTTCCATGTAACTATCTGGACTTCCCACCTTAGCCTCAGTCTGATACAAGTTGCAGGCCAAATGAGGTGAGGAACTGTGCTCTCTGGGACCCCGTGGGTGTCCGCTTCCTGTTGGGGGAGTGAGGGAACTGAGCTCCACCCAGGAGAAACATCTAGAGTAGCAGTGTTGCTTTCTGTTGATTCACTTCTTCACCTGGGCCCTCTATACCCGTAGCTGACTGTGGCAGTCATGAGACTTTGGAAACCGTAGTACTGGCTTACTTGGTGTCTATGCTTTGATCTGTGTCAGTTTCTGTTAGGGTGGGGCTCTGGCCCAATTGGCAGGCTAG